TATGATAACACATTCAATATTTTTAGAAAAACCTCACATTTTTCAAGTCATGTTAATTTGACTAATACATATTATTTATGTGGATCAATGGTTTAGAAACTTCCTCCTTTGGGCAAGGCCGCTATGACCCTTAATGGGCGTATAAAGTGTCATATGAAATTTCATAATAATTAAAAAATAAAAATATATATGTCAAGTTATGAATTTTTATGACGTATTCAATTAACTTTTTATGGCTTCTTATATTTAAAGCATTTCTATGGCTTCTTAAATTTAATGCATTTTTATGGCTTCTTATATTTAAAGCATTTCTATGGCTTCTTAAATTGGATGCATTTCTATGGCTTCTTAAATTTGTTGCATTTCTATGGCTTCTTATTTTTGAAGCATATCTATGGCTTCTTAAATTTTATGCATTTCTATGGCTTCTTAAATTTGTTGCATTTCTATGGCTTCTTACTTTTGAAGCATTTATATGGCTTCTTAAATTTGTTGAATTTTTATGGCTTCTATAAAATTTGCGAATTATCATTGTTTTTAATTTTTTAAATACATTAATTTTTTGGCTATAAGTAAACAATATTTAATTTTTTCCTAAATTTTATTATCAAATATTTGCAAATATTTTGGAACTTTAAAACTAAATTTTCGCAAACTATAACAAATTCATAGAACTTTTACACCTTGTGTTATTTAAAATCCTACATATATTTACATATAATATAATCTTTAAGTACAAACTATTTTATTTTTATGTACAGAATTTTCCATAAGTATTAATAGTGTAAAAGACGTATACGAGTGTTCTATAAGCGCAAAATCCTTTTTTTTTATGTACATTATGATGCATTATTAATAATTTTGTATATTTTGTACTTTTTTTATAAGAATAAAACAATTCGAAAAATATTTCCTCAGTATTTAAGAATCGCATGTGTAAAAATATTTAAATCGTGAATTGAATATTAAATAATAAGTATTTGACCTGGAATCATACGATAACAAATTGTTATTATAGCGAATCCTCGTATGATATTTAACAGTAACTATGTTAAGTATCGCTCAACATATTGTAACATAACTATTAAAGATAATTTTGTTGTAATAATATTTTAAACAAAATATTAAAATAAAATAAACTAAGTAAATAAATCATTAAATAATAAATATAATTCCTTTGTTTATAAATTCTATTAATTTATTAAAAATAAACAATACATATACTTTATGTCATTACAAAATTTTCTTGAGAAACAACATAATATAAATAGTATTTAAATATTATTTATTATTTTTACTTGACATATATTTATTTTCGATTGATGACGCTATTTAAATTAATCATTGAAAGCTTAATCCTGTGTTTATTTAGTAATTCAATACCTATAAATGATATTTTTAACTGAACACGAATTATAATAAATAATGATTTTATTTCAAAATGATTAGATAAAATTTTGTAAGATAAATATTTAACAGATATTATAAATGAAATATTAAATAATGTCAATTTGGCAGCCTATTCAGCTCCTTAAATGAACATTACTTTATTCGTATGATAAAGTCGATAAAATTTTTTTGTTTTTTAGTTCTGCTATACTGGTTGGTTGAAATTATGTAAAACATTAATTTTCTCAACAAATATTGCAAAATTAAGAAATGTTTACTTCATAACTACTACAATAAAAATTTTTTGTGCTGTCGAAACAGATTATTACTACCGGTTCTATAAAACCAATTCAATGATAAATTTTTATTTGAAATCCAAATATTTAAAATCTTAAAACGCAAATAGTCGATCGAATAAAAAATAGATATAAGAAAAAAATTATATATAAGAAAATTATATTTTTGGTTTTTTATCTCTAAAGTATTAAAGAATAATTTTTACCACATATTATTATGAAATATTTTGAACCAAATAATTTCTGTCCTTACAAAAATTGAAAATTTGCACTATTTGTTGATAAAATGAGTGTCATATTACAATTCGATCTGCCCGTACATGAAATTTATTAGAGTAAAATCAGAAATTAAAATAATTTTATTCAAGTTTTTGACGTACTTGTATTCCGTGTAACATACTCTAAAATTTTGTGCATTATTTTTAAGTGTAGCAAATTTCTTATTTTAAACTTAATCTTGAGTGTTTATGATTAAAAATGTTAATGAGTAAGGGAAATTATTGATAAATGTGAAAACTTGAATGATTACGAATATCTTAACTGAAAAAAATGTTAATATTATAAATATGACAATAAAATTACTATTATTTCCTCAAATTATAATAGTTGTCTTATTGTTATATTGACAGAATATAAGAAGCTATGGCAAAACAATAACAGTTTCTATCGTGATAATAAACTAAAAAATCTCAGCATGACACAATGAAAAATTTCATTCGCCACAACATTGCAAAGATGTTGTTACATAAGGTAATAGTTCAATGGTAAGATAGTTTTCACCATTTTACGATTGCGTGTAAAATAAAATAGTAAATAGCGAATATACTTATAAAGATTATATTACTTTTTGAGCTAATCTTAAAATCGACTACTTTGCGCCCTTTGAAATAAGTGTTAGTATAATCGAGGAATTATTGTTTGAGTTTCATTTAATAGTTTTGGATACAGACATGAAGATTCAATAAAAAATCTGCAGTTGAAATGTTATTTAACCTCAAGCTATTTCAAATATCTAAATACCCCATTAATTCGTGCAGAATAAAAGCATAGTAACGGTAAACGGTTCATTTTTTTAGTTTGACTTATAGGTCCTACTTGATACGACGTGAATGAAATATGAATAATTTTATCAGTAAGATTTTTTTCCGATTCATTATTAATTTTGAAATTATTATTAAATTAATGATAATAAAGGATGTCAAAAATATCTTAGATGGCTTTTTATTTTATTTATTGGAATGGTTATATTTTATCATATATTACTATATGATGTATTGAGTTAATGAAATTTATTTTTAACCCTATTGTTAATTCTATAAGTTTAGAATTTTCTGTAAAAAAATAACTCGCATATCGGATAATACCATGTGAAATAACAAACATTAATATCACGTGAAATTAGCACAACTATAGTGGTCAAATGATTTTGCCATTTTAGGGAATGAAACGCCTTTATGATAAAAATCATCATGGCGCTGTGCCTCCATATTTCAGAGATTTTTTAATTTATATTACTATATCAAGATGTTATTGTGGACTATTTGATATGCATAAATGACTTTTTCCCAATAACCCTATTTTAAATATTTAATTTATTTGAGAATAGTATTTCTCTCGTTTAATTTATCTACATATAAACATATAATAACCATGAATTAAAATATAATCTATTAAATTTGTAGAATTAATAATTTACATTAATTTAGAATAAATAAAAAATACATATAATAAAAATGTCATAAAGGGGTATTTCAATAGGGGATCTATTCCCTTAATGCCCTACCAGTTAACCGCCATTGATCCATAGAATAAATAATTGATAGGGAACATTTGTCTGGACGCATAAAAAACTTCAGGCCGCGTTTAACATGGCGCTCGTCTTTGACGTAACTACGTTGCACAAATGGTACCGTCCCCAGTATTTATAACTTAAAACCGCGTCTGTCACAGCATTTGTCTCCAATGTGTTAAGTATTTTTTAATTCTTTTCTTTCTATAGGTATCAACTTAATTTTTTGAAAAGGGCACCATACATATTTGAATAGTTTTAATATTAGAAAACGATACAAAAAAGAAAATAACTGGTCGAAGCAACTTTTGAACCAGTATTTTCAAATTTATTAACATTTTTAAATGTACACCGAAAGCAAAAAGCGAGTCATGTCATTTTTTTTAATATGCATTTTTCCGCCGTGCTACTCCTCCTATCCAAGTATGCAAAAAATTTTAACTTCTGAATTACTGATTGTTATTTTAGAAAGTATATATTGGTCAATGATAAAACAATCACTCTGTATTTTGGTTGTAGATGTTTTAATATTATGAAAAAAAAAAATCTATCGAATCACACAGGAATGCTTAGTTACACGTTAGACACTTGCGTTTAATTTTACAGTTTCAGCACGTGCCATCACAATAATTTTAAGTGTCCCCTACCACAAGTCGCCAACCAATCGAGTTTTTATGATGTTGATGTTATACCATCTATAATTTACAAACTAATTATTATGATCATTAAAACTTGCATCATTTCTGCTTAAAATAACAATGCAACGATCGAATGCTGTATCGTAACAGTCTCTGTTTTACCAATTCACCTTGGCCCATAGACCCACAAAAAAGACCTATGTAGCTACTAAGCCGTTAGAGTTGGACATTTGTTTTGCATCATTGGGCCATAAATCTATTAAAAATTACATTTTATGTAATAGTAAACATACAGTAACATTCTTCTTAACTAATAAAATAAACTAAATTGTATTTATTTTGTACAGAGTTGACATGAAAAATCATGACGTCTATTTATTAATAGATAATATTCAATTGAATTTTTCGTTTCATAATGATTATTGAGGTGTTTTGTTTTAAAGGCCGATGACTTTATATTGCACACGGGGACTGGGCAGGGATATTCAGGTCACATTTAACACAATAATATTTCTGGTAGTACAAGCCAAAAGTCCAAGTGACCTGGAATTCTCTCGATCCATCTCTGATTGGGCTCAATGTGAGCAGATTCAGTGCCTACTCTAATTATTACGCTTATATAAATACAAGAATAAATGAAATGTAATTCAATAATTACTCGCTGAACAATAACGGTATTTATTTTTTTCTTAATCAAGTCATGCTTTAATTACATGACAGTGCACAACCCATACAACGTAAAGACAATGAGAATACTAATTTCACACTCGGTGTTCCAATAGGTATCGCTCTTTTACGCATGTTATCGAGTAATAGACAAGTTATGATCCGCTGTAAATATTTCCACTTTCGACGCGCCTGCATCACAGCCGATAAGGTTGTCGTGGGGACAGCACAATATGTTAAGTAAGCGATCTCAGCTGAGTTGAGTAACCTTCACATGCGTTTATTTTTCTAATATCCATTGGCGTAACATTCGCCTTATTCGCGGTTAGACTAACCGGCTGCCGCGACGTATCATAAAGCCGAAGTGCTCAATCTAAACCATATATTTAGTTTATTGTTTTTGTCAATTTTAAAACAGTATATTCAAAATGAATGGAATAAATCAATGGAAGGGTAAAGTGGCAATGGTCACAGGTGCAAACGGCGGTATTGGTATGGAAGTTACGAGGAAATTTTTAACTCTAGACCTAATTGTGGTAGCTGTAGACAAAAATTGCGATCAACTAATGGTAAGTGATCAATTTTGTGTATCAATAACTACTATGCAGCTACTGTAGTTTCTTTAAAAAATCATTTATCCATAGCTAATTGAGTGTAAACCTAGAAATCATTTTTTTTTTTCATCAAAACAAGATGTTCATTTTATTATTACGCAGCTCATTTCTTGGATTAATTATAATTCGCCGATTGGTACGCTTGTAAATTCATTCCCCGACATGTTTTATTAAAAATATTCNATAAACCTAGAAATAATTTTTTTTTTTTCATCAAAACAAGATGTTCATTTTATTATTACACAGCTCATTTCTTGGATTAATTATAATTCGCCGATTGGTACGCTTGTAAATTCATTCCCCGACATGTTTTATTAAAAATATTCAAAACAAGAAAATGTCATTTAAAATAATATGCAAATTATTAAAAAAACTCTACAATTATTTCTCTTATTATTTTTACTGGCCATAATTATGACATTTTTAAATGGTAAAATTATGTATTCTTAATTCATTCCTGTAAGACAACACTAATTTTTCTTATTTAATTCCTAAGTAATGGTTTAATTATGGCGTCCCATAGAGTAACGTTATATATTTCTAGTGTTATTAAGTAATTACAAATGTATACAGTGTAATTGATCTATCGCTGATCACTAAATTTCTTATAATAATTTTGAGAATATTTTTTGGTTTTATTCAGTACTATTTGTTTTTCATTTTATAAGTGGTTAAATATTTTTTAGATCTATGCTAATAAGTATACCAACTTTTTATTTGAATTGTAACTTACATATTTAGTAAATTAAAATTTAGACTTTGATCATTATCTCAATCGATCAGTAAACTGGTAGGTTCCAATTTTTGAACAAGAAATTCGAAGTTATTATCATTTTTAAACGTTTACTTTAAGTGAAGTGTGGGTCATTTTATTCTTATCATTATGAATTACTCCATCGCGCTTTTTCTCCCACCCAGGCATAAAATTAAATTAAATATAATTTCTAAAATATTGGTTGAAGAGTTGTTATCGACCAAACATTTTCTTAATTAGGCCATTGTTTAACACTTAATCTATTAAAATATCTATATTACCACTTAAAAAATGAAGTTGGTACTGTTATAATGGCTAGACCTCGAAAATATTTAACAACTAATAAATTGAATAATAAATAATACTAAACAAAATAAAAATACAAATTCTCAAAATTATTATTTTAGTGGCCAAGCACCTTTTATACTTAAATTTGTATAAATAAACTTTTTGTTTACTACTATTTAATAATTAAGTAGTATTAAATGCGTAATAATATATTTTAATCGGTAAATAGAGAAATAAGAATTTTAAAAATAAACATCACTAGCCTTTATGAACTGTTATTATGGTTAATATTCTAGATAATATATGTAAAGGTAATATTCTATTGAAAACTTATGTAAACAAAGCTTTGTTGTTTATGTCCAAAACACATAATTTCTACATCACATAAAGCATAAAATTATCCAGTATTATATTATTTTTAAAGTTTATAAGTATAATAGAAAATTACAGAGAATGAAATATTGTTTTTATTATTTCATATCTTCTCATAAAAGTTTTGTAAAAAATTAATTATTAACTAATATGATCTCGTAGTTTAGGAGATTAAAGTTTAGGTACTGGTACTTATATATTAGATAATGCATTTACTTGTATATTAGGTAATGTAAATTGTATAAACTAGTTTTTTATTCGAATCAAAATTAAGGAAGTATACGGTTTTTTAATTTTTTGAAAATTGGAATGAAATATAATATATTAAATGAGGACGATATTTTTATCGTCATAGTAGTTAGTAAAAACTTAATTGAATAAAGGACTAATTTAAATTATCCCTCTTTAAAAACTTTTTATAAATAATGGATTTTAAGGGTGTTTAAGTGAAGGTTACTTTACATTTTGAGACAGCTTGGCATTCCAAAGTCCCCTTTAACCCACACATAACTACCCTTTTTAACTTGAATATATAATTTCAATCTACTGATTTTAATATCCATTTTTCATATAAATAAGATATTTAATTGCGAAACAAACCAAGTGCATTACTTCTGCTTTAAAATTTAATCTAATATCATGATAAGTCTAAATGGAGATATCACAATTACCATTCACTTTTCAAAACTAGTTTTAAACGTTTTGCAATTCCTCATTTTCAAATCGAATCAAGCCTAAATGTTAATATGATTGAAGAAAAATATTTTTTTATACACTGATAATCAACGAGTTGACTTCAACTTGGTTTTTGTAGCTTCGTTTGCGCGAATTATTATTATAATTATATATTTATAGATAATTAATTTTTTATTCTAATAAATATCTTCCTGTATTGTTATTACTTAGTTATACAAATGAATATTTATACAGTTTATAATTAAGTATTGATAAACTTACTTATTAGAATGTTGTCGTCGAGAGATAAGTTTGTAGATTAAAAGATAGACGAAAAGTATGAAGAATATACGTATTTATTTGTGAATTATTAGATGTGCAATATTTTTTTTAAACGGTTCTCTGGTGTTCATACGGTTACACAATCACGTGAGCTAGAAAGTTTACAACCGAAAATCAAACGATGCGTAGTAATATTTACATGTTTATATTAATTTTAATTAATATTTCATTTTATATTGATACGTTCCAATAAATATGCTTATTATTCACTGCCAAATATCTATTAAAACGATTATTTACAACTTATTAATACTCTTAAAATTGAATATATATAAAAATAGTAATAAGTATGAAAAACGTTAATGTTTGCTCATTGCTGAATATTAAATGGTGTCTTTGGGATCCGGACCCTCCCCATGGATATAAAATCATAGTAACAGGGTAGTAAAGGAGTAAATCTCCCTGCTATTTTGCGTTCTAAAAACTATCTGGAACTTTCCCGCACAACATTTTTAAATACACCACTTAAATAAACCACATTGATCGAATTGTAAAAAAACCCAAATAATTAATATGTTATATTTTCAAAATAATTATTGTTTTTATGAATAAGTATAATCCATCATTACCATCATTCAGTACTGTAATTCCCTAATTTTTTACCATGTAGGCATTGAAAGATGAATTAAAAACTACTAATTTACATCCTCTGAATGTTGACTTATGTCATGAAGAAGAAATTATAAGGGCATTTCAATGGATTGACGATACATTTGAAGGTGTTGATGTTCTTGTTAATAACGCGGGGATTGGAGGTCAAGGAACTTTAATAAGTTGGTATATTGATGTAAAAAGATGAATTTCACTAAATTTACTTAGGAAAAATTGTTGCTTTTGAAGAATTTATTTATCAATGATAAAATTGATAAATAATAATAAAATTTTCTAGATGGTTCGGTATCTGAGTGGAAAAAAATGTTAGATGTTAATGTAATAGCATTGAGTATATGCTCCCGAGAAGCTATAAAATCAATGAACAGTCGAAATTTGAATAATGGGCATATAATACATTTGAGTAGGTAAGATTAATTTAAACGAGAGTTCTCAAATTTATCTTCTAACATAATTTTAAATAGTTTTACTATTGAATTTTATAATAAAATGTTAATATTTATTACTATTCAGCCTATTGTGTCAAGTACTGAAGCCTTGACATAAAAAGGTATTAAGTTCCAAAAACTTAATTTGATAGGAGAATCATGGGCGCAAATTCAATAAATATTTTGGATATTATATGTAATTTCTTCCTAAATTATTTTTGTATAATCATGTATGTAATTCTCTTGAAATTTTTGAGAGCCTAATTTTCATATTAAATTGGTTAAGCTCCACTAAGACCCCCAATAAACTGAAAAAACAGTTTATCTGAACGACGTAAACTTTACACAGCGTCTTCTTGTTTTCAGCATAACTTTGATTCTGTATAAATTTGTTTTTTTTGTCAGATAATGAGAATGTTTTCATTATATTTTTTAAGAAAAAATTATTTTTTTGGGAAAGGTTCCCATGGTATTGCCTTAACTGAGAGCCGTCCTAAGTCAGGAACGAGTGATCTACGCTTTAGACACTACGCCTTTGATTCCTTGTTTGGGACCTGTGCTCACGCACTTTAAAAGTTTTCTTTAAATACAACGGTTTACATATATTACAAATATAGTTTGAATTTTTATTTGACAATATCATATTATTGATTAGATGAAATAAAGTATGGAACTTGTCACTAGTACAATATAAACTATAATAATAAGTCTATATGGTCCATTTAGAAAAGTGTACTAAACAAATTATATATAGGCTTAGTGAAATACTAAAGGTATTAGGAAATACTTTATGCAGAGGTGGACATAGACTACCAAATTGTTAGGGAGCACAAAATTGTGACGGTCCTATTAGCTCCAAAAAGTGCATTGCAAAAAAACAAAAAAATGATAAAAGTCTTCAACATTTTTTATAACATATATCATAATTTTCTACAGTAATTAAAAATCCATCTCTTTATTTTTTGTAATAATTATAATAATAATAAATATTATTTATTTGTAATAAATATTACACATTTATAATAAATATTACATAGTTATAATATATTATAAAAATTCTTTGTTAGATACACAATTACGCTATTCATAGCTTTATCTATTTTTTCAAACATTTTATTTAATCCATTCCGCTACTCATAGCCAATAAACAGTGATCCAGGGACAATTTACCCTTACCAGTTTACCTATGACTATACGCATGTTAACATTTTGAAATAGGAGAGCTTACCGACTTACGGGAATGTAATAAACTTCGTAAGGAAAGCATCAATGTTTTTTAAATTATTAAATATTTTAATTTCGAAACAACATAGAAAACATCTGTTGGGGAACATATGCATTTGAATGTATACGTTTAACCAATTTTTTTTTTTAAGTTTCTACTTCATTTATTGATTGTTTTAAGTACGCTTTGAACTATATTATTAAAAATAAAAATTATGTGAACAATCAAAACTTATAAAAAATGTAATTTTATAAGTTTCTTAATATCTGTTTTTTTATTTTACAGTAATTTAGCATACTACGTTCCCTCTTATGCTCCATTTCATTTTTACTCTGCCACAAAACATGCTGTACGAGCATTAACAGAAGGATTGCGACAAGAGTTGAGAGATTTAAAAAGTCCAATAAAGGTCACATGTATTAGTCCAGGTCTTGTGAAATCTTCAATATTTAAAAGTTCTCTAGGAGATGCTTTTGATAAGCATCTATATGAAGCATATCCAAGTATCAATCCTTCTGATATAGCATCAACTATTGAATTTATATTAGCCACTCCACCTCATGTACAAGTAAAATATTTTATTTATGTATAACATAAAATTATGAGGGCGTAGCATGACTCAATAGGCTTTTTACTCCATCCTTCCGGTGATAATATCAGTTCATGTCAATTAACAATGTAATTTTCAAAAAGTTTGTTATCAGTTTAAAATTTAACACTGAAAATTAAGACATTCGTTAAGATGCGTTAAGAGTATAATTTATATAATTTCAAAATATGTTATTTACAGTTAAATTATTAAAACTCAGACGTAGTATTTTTGTATTAAGCAGTACATGATATGTCCTTGATCCAATTGACTTGAAATGTTAAACGTGAAAAAAGTACCGGTTTGACTACTATTCTTTATCTTATAAAATAACCTCTACATTTTTAAATTTAATTCTTAATGCTAGTCCTGCAAGTAAAGTTTGAATAGTACATTAAGGATTATTTCTTTAGTTTCAAGTAAAAAAGCTTGTTAAATAATGTCTATTTTGCTTTCAGAAAAACTAACGAGATTGTATTTAAGATTTTGGCACGTATAACTTCCTATTTACGATTAGATAATTAAGTAAATTTATGCATTTATAAATTGCTTAAGCACATAAGAAGTATGTACTTCTGTAAAATATATTAATGCAGTTTTGAATTCCTTAAAAAAGCTTCGAGTTATTTAACATTTTGATTCTACTAAAAATAAAAATCACTTTTCTTTAAAATGTCATTACACTAAAAATACTAATGAGTAACATGAAGTAAACTATCCCACCTTTTTAAAATGCCATGAAACTATTATCAAAGAATGTGCATTTTCCAATATTTTAAAGTATTGAATAGTTTTTAATAGTATTTGAATGATAGGACTGAATTTTTTCTTACATAAAAATAACTTAAATAAAAAAAGGAAAACATTTTTTTTTTAATAATTTAAATAATTCTGAAACTAATTTCCATTACAACTATAATGTATAGTTACACATTCTTAATATTATTTCAAATTTTATTGACAGCTAATTAAAACTTTTTCATTAATTAAATTATGTATTTCAGGTACAAGATATTATTATCAAACCATTGGGCTCAGACGCATAAAGAAAAACTCATATATCACAATAATATTGTTTTAGTTATCCAATTTTAAAACATGATACAAATTTATTATTCTAATTTAAGTAAGGAAAACCTATAATAATGTACAATATAAAATCATACATATAAATAGATTTTTACATTTAAAAATTTATTTACATAACTTCAACCAAATTAAAAAAAATGTATTATTTTACATCAATTATAAACTTATACAACCTTAAATTCAGGTTAAGATCACAGTTTGTAACATGTAAGTGATTTAATTAAGTTATTTATTAATTAATTTTTTAAATATTGTTATTTATAAAACCTTTTTTCTTTCTTGTACTTCTATAACCCATATTTAACTTAAATCACATATTTTCTACAGTTTTTGATACAAGTGTTACACCACCATTTCTTATAATATGATGAATATATTATTAAAACACATATACAAATGTATATATTCACATACTTAAAATAGTTTCATTCAGAATTATTTTTGGCTTGACAAAATTTACCATAACAGGCTTATAAGGTAACTTATTATTCGGTAGTGAGCATACGATGATGCAATAAAAAATAAATGCAGTATCAAAAAGCGCACACAATCTTGTTGAATAACAGATGATTGTCGACCTTTATGGCCAGGAAATTCACCAGTTGAGTAAAAAATCTCTAAAAGACGTTCTTTTTCTTCCCACCGGTCAAACAACCATTTTGTCATTTCTTCTTGATCTCTAGGAACCTAAACAATTTAATATGGATAAGAATTAATTATGAAATTATGTTCGAGAAATGGAGGTTTAAACTGACCACTGAACTAGGAAATAATCTATAGTACATATGTGTACAACAAGCTCTACGTTGACCCATTATAATAGTTGGCAGATCTAATGGTTTTCCTTCAGAATATGCTATTGTTATATCCAAAATCCATGTTAACTTGTCAGTATTTTCATCTAATAAACAATTTTCAACATTACATATTCTAAATTTTTTAAATTTATATATGTTTCTTTAAAATATTTGTGTGAATAAGGATAAAAAAATAGTAAATTAATATATTGAAGAAAATATTCATTAGTCATTATTTAAGAACCTTTAGAAATATATTAATAATGTTAATATATAATATATAATTTATAATTAAGTAGAAATCAAGTATTAGCATGTTATAATTTAATTAAAGTTTATTTTGTAAAATAGTATGAGTGTTGATTGGTGTTATAATTCATGAGATAATATAAATGTAGTTATTACTTTTAATACTACTTATTAAAATAATTATTATTCAAAGTTAACACATATTCTATTTTTTAAATAATAAAATTTATGTCATAGAAATGTGACACTGGAATGGTGTGAAAATTAATTTAGAAAATGACAAAATGAAAACTCAATAATATTATTTTTCAATAAACTATTAGTATTCTTTAGATGAACCCCTAAAAACCATTGATGCATAATCATTTATATAACTTGATAATTAAATTTAACATATTAAAATTATTAATTTGTATCAGTATTATTAGTATAATAGAAAGTTTAAATTACCAAAAATTCATTTTATACAGTATACACAAATATTTTTATTACATCAATATTTTACTATTAAGATAAGGGTGGTCAACCCAGAGTAGAATGGCTAGGAAAAAAAAGAAGAATAACAATATTTTACTATTAATTAAAAAAATTAGAATATCTCTCACCAAAATCAGTATTATTGTTCATTACGCCTCCATATTTGGTTTGTTTTGGTGACAATTCATCAATTATTGCTGAAAATGCTCCTAATCTTGGAAGGGTTACATGTTCCAAAAAAGGCAAATTATTTTTTTGAGCATATCTATAATTAAAACAATTTTACTATTTTATACATATACATTGGTATTATTTTATAAATTGTGTTCAGAAAGTTTTCTTAGAAGTAAATTATTAAGATATAATTACAGAGGCAACTTATCATAAAAGTATAGTTCGTCAATAACATAATTTTTTTTTTATTAAAAAATTATATCAAAATAAGCAATATTTAAATAAAAAGTCAATCCATAAAAAATTTTTAATATTAATGATATAGATATAGTTGAAGACTAGAACAAAATAGATTGTTTCATTTTTCAATACAGTAAAACTTTAATAAGTCAAAAATCCTATTCTCTTGAGTGAACCCAATTACTCGAAAAAAAAACAATAGATAACTAGCACAACTTATTTGTAGTAAATGTTATTTGTGATTTCATTTACTTAAATTTCTACTTGATTTATGTATGATAATAATATATATGATTATTGTGTTTATTATCATTATTTATTTTAGTTTAATATGGCTAATATTTTGTTATATTTGGTATTGTCAGTTGCACTTGGTCAGTTAAATGTGTATTGTATGTCAACAAAATTGTCTCTTAATTTAAAAACACTTACTATCAGAAAAAACAAAGGGTCTTTAATAAAGTAAAAATAGAAAGGACATTGCTAATGAATTTGGTATACCACCGTAATAAATAATAAAAATTAAATTAAATTGTACTTTTTACTTGATCAGAAAAGAAAGAGAAGCCTTGAATGTTGAGATAAGAAGATTGTGTAGTTAAATGGTTTTACAATGCAGAGATGTCAATGTCAGTATTAAAGGTGCTATTCTAAAAGAAAAATTTATAAAATTACTTGTCCATGATCAATTTAAAATCAGTAACACATGGCTTGACATTTAAAAAAAATGGGACAATATTATTTTCAAAAAAGTATAAGATGAGAGTGCAGTTTTCAGTAATAATGTTTTTGACAAGTAGAAAATAAATTTGAGTGAGCTATTAAAAGGATATTAGACGTGCAATATATTTAACGTAAATGAAACTGCACTATATAAATGTTTACCAGATAAAACTTTAACATTTAAAAATGAAAAATGCTTTAGCAATAAGCATAGCAAAGAGAGACTCACATTATTATTGACGGTAAATATGATTAATATAGATAAACTGAAACATCTATTAACTGGGAAAAAACCGAGGTATTTGCTGGTATCAAATCTTTACCAGTTGAATATACAGCGAATAAAAAAGTATGGATGAAAACACAAAAATTAATGTTTATAGACAATTGTCCAGCACACAATATTATATCAAATTATCAAGGTAAGTACATTGTTTTTATACCAAATACTACTTCAAAAACTCAACTTTAAGATCAAGATATCATAAAAAATTTCAAGACGCTCTACAGAAAAAAAGTAGTAAGCAATGTAGATAATTAGTTATTTTCTGCATTAAATTTCATTAAAATACTATTGATAATAACATTTACAAAAATCAAACTTGGAGTAAAATAACAAATTATTTCTTTTTTTAAAAATGTTGTTTTAAAAGAATGTATTTTTATATTTATATGTATTTAACATTTAAAATATAATATATATATATTTAACTTATAACTTCTATATGTTGAAAATCTCAAGTTGAAAAAAAATCTATACCTTTGAGACTTGACTTATGAAAGTTCTACTGAAGTAAATCATATAGATAATACGTCAACGCTATAAATACTTTTTAGTTATTGCCATTTAAACTAAAAGACAGTTACAATGAAATTTTTTTTTATATTTCTTTTAATGATCAATATTCTAATATATTTCTTTATTTTAATATTGGATATTCTATATAAAACTACAAGGTAGTGTACGTTTAAATATTTACCTTTGACTTGCTTCTAATCTTTTCCTTAAAAATCCCCCCTCTGGGAAAAGGATTATTAAATTTCTTTGAAGAGGAATGTACGATGACTTAATATGGTTTCGTAGTTCTTTTACAGCTTGTTCTCTCTGATCTTTACCCTAAAATTTTAGATTGTATTTTTACATTCGTGTTACAGTTTATTTGCTAATGATTTATACTGATAAAATAAAGAAGTCTTTGTGTATGACAGAAACAATTCCAAAGTTGGTAAATTTAAATATTCTGTCCATTATCCACATAATATTAGGCAGAACTCCTGGTTTAGCATTGAAATTTGTCATCAGCATTGGAACATCTGCTGTTGATTGATGATTAACCAATACTAAAGTACGATCATTGAGGCATAATCTGATATCATCACCTACTTCTACAACTAAAAAATAATTTTTAATTAATTAAAACATTTATACATATAAATTTTTTTATAAAAGTTTATAAAATTTGATTAACAAGTCTTTAGAGAAAATGTTGAACATAAATATAATACTAACTTTAATAGCAAAATCTTTTAAAAATGAAAAGAAAGACATAATGATAAGTAAAATATTAAAACATTAATTATTAAAGTGTTAATTCATTTTAACTTGGTGATAAAAAAAAGAATGGTTAAAAAATTATTAAATTCTAAATATGTTTATAAATGCTAAACTAGTTTGATTTTTTTAAAATTATTCACCCCCAAATACAAACCTAAATATATTAATAAAACAAATTTTTTAACTACTAAAAATAAATTAATGACTTGTAAATATTTTAGATATACTGTTCAATAACTTTTACTATCTGGAATGCAAAATAATGAAAAAATTACCTATACTTACTATTATATCCTGCAGACCACGACCACATTGAAACCATTGCTAAGAGCCAATGGAAAAATAAACCTTCTAATTTCCAATATAGCTTAGGATGAAATTTTCGCAAAGGAAAGAAAATAATCATCCAAACACAGTATGTGGGTATGCAATAAATATTGTTGATGAGTACAAATAATACACGAATAATTACTTTGCATGTTACAGCAGCTCTAAAAATAAGTCAATTAAAAAAAAGTTTATCAAATGTTTTGTTTAATATTCTCTAACTACACTACTTAAAACATACCCAATCAATTGTGTTCAATTATAAATAAAATTACATAAATACAATTATTACTTAAAAAAAAAAATTAACTGTTAAAATATAATACAATTACTTTATGAAATTAAGTATTTGCCTATATATGTAAACATAATATAGGTCGCAATTGTGAACGGGTATTAGAATACATGGACACACGGAGCCCGGGTACACGGGCAAAACATATATTAAAGACCGTATATTTTATACCCATGCATACATTGTATATGTATATATATATATATGAGTACTTAAGGTCACGGGTATTTAAATGCCCGGGTATACACGGATATTTTTACTACAAGGGCTTTAACCCCGTCATAGGTAAAGCACAGGTACTCGTATAGTTCATTACACATGTAATCGCGACCTCTAGTACATAATAAACATAAAAAAATGAATTTCACTTTTAATAAAACCAATTAAAAAAAAAAAAAGTTGAATTATAATACAATGATAAAATAAAATATTGACATCTAATTAAAATAGTAGTAGAAATTTAAGCTGTTTAAATTGATAATCAAACTATATTACTAAATATTACAATTTTTTATAGTTATAATTATTGTTATTCAGATTAAAATTAATTTGTGAAGTCCACTGTCCATAAAAATAAAGAAAAACTGTTTAATTAATAATGAACCATTGATAAATAAATTAATATATATATATATATATATAATAGATAATCTAATCAAATATTGAATAAGCATATCATTGTTTTAAAGTAATAATCATTGATTATAAAAACATTATAATCATTATATACCATGTAAAAACAGTTCTATTTATGTTATTTCTTTATTTAAAATTCATGCAAAATTATATTATTAAAACGTTTTTATTGCTTAAAAATATTTTTTTTTATTAAGGATCCATATAATATTATGTCAAAATAACAATATGTCTATATATAATTATGGACAAAATATGTATATATACATATGTTTGTGTGACATTCAACTAGACAATACATACACATAAACTATGATACTAATAATTAATCACAAGTAACAAAAAATGATTTGCAACAAAATTAATTTATCCTTGAAAATAGTTTTAATCAAGTACATGTTTTATGTAATCTTTTATAACAACTAATTAGCTTACATCACATTAATTAGAAGCAACTAAAAATTATGTATAAAAATTGATAGTTAAATCTTTGAGGATTTATACCACAAATTTGTTTATTATTTTCAATATTAACTAAATAATTTTATAACAGCCGTGATTTATATCAGCAGCCACTCCTTAAATTTTTAATTGCTATTTATTCAATATCTTTATTATATTAAATAAATTCACCTACTTGTAACCTAATTTCTTTAATTTCCCATCGGGCATTTCAATACTCAAGTCAGTCTTCATAATTCCAAGTCACTTAAATCATAAACTAAAAAAAATGTTTAATTTTATTGATTTTTTTTTTTAAGAATTTTATACAAAAATGTTTAATTATCACTACGAAAATTCATATTTAACCACGTAAGTGATACATTTGATTGACAAAACTAGGTATATTATACTAACCTTGTATTTTATTACACCCAAGGGCTAAATTTACATTTTTTAATTTTATGAACGTCTAATAAGGTGGAATGCTTATAATATAATTTATAAATACCGTCCTAAAACTTTTTAAGGGCATGTGTTAATTACAATCACAACCTTTCAACTGAAAATCCGCAGTATTTTTTATACTGAGATGAAATAATTACTGCTATCGAAGTGAACTACGATCCTCACTAGAATTGGGTACAGCACTAGAATAACAATTTTTACTTTTTTATCAGCTAATGGTCTCGAAAATAAAAACATTCTAATTCCTGAGTCAAAGAGCTTGTATTAATGGTATTACAAATTATACCATGGTAAATAGCGGTGAATATTATATATATTATAATAATATTGTTATAATATTAGACTAAGAAAAATATTATCACTTATCATAAAATGATGGTAAAACGTGAACAGAGAAAAATTGCAGAATGAAAATTTTGAATTTTTGAATCACTTTTATCTTAATTTCAACTAACTTTTAATATTTTTTACCAGAATTCATTACTAAAATTAACTTATGGATTGTTAACAAATTAAAGACAATATGAATGTAGGATCAGCTTTTGAATTTTATTCTCAACAGACATCTGTAGTCAGCAACAACAAACGTAAGACTAAAAATAAAACGAAGAAATGTGTCAAAAAAAAAATAAAAAGCGGAAAAAGTAGCATATCTTCAAATAATGTTTCAAAAAATACTTTAAATCAAATCTATAGTCTTAACATGAATAACTCAGTTATAGCTGGTAAAAAACTATTTGAATGGTTGATCCATCCAATAAATATAAATGATTTTATGAAGTAAGTATTAATGTATTAATTAATTAAATTGAAAATAATGGAATGTAAGTTAATGTATAACTTCCCTCTCCCATTAATCTGCATATATGCCTTTATTTACATTTTTTTTTAATTGACTGGAAAATTGAGGGAATTAAAAAATTTTAAATTTGTGATAACCATATTAATATTTTAACTGTAATATATTATATTACAGTAAGATCTTATTAATCTTTATTAAATTTTTTTTATCAAAAATACTCATGCCCGCCACCATTTTTCGACTTGAACCTTAAATTTTTATTAGGCCTCCCCAAAAGTATTCCAAAGATACTCTAAATAATTCATTGAAATCGTTTATTTTGACTGAGTTCTGAGCTTTTTTTTTAAATTCCACTTGCATAGTTTTTAGAAAGAATTGATTTTGCTTTGTACATGCCAATATTGTTTACATTTTGTGTTAGTTTATGTAGTTTTTACTATTAATACAGAATTTCAAGATTGTTTTTAATATTTATTTCATTTATATTGAGATAGACTTGTTTTTATTCTAAATATTTGAACAATATATAGTAAAATGACCATCACACTACTTTTAAATTAGTTAATTTTTTTCAGAAATCATTGGGAAAATTCTATTCTGCATGTTCCTAGAAATAGCCCTAATTATTTCTCTCAATTATTTTCTCTTGAAGAACTTAATAGCATTTTAAGTAACAACAACCTTCAGTATGGAACTAATGTTGATATTACATCATACACCAATTTTGTACGAGAAACCCATAATCCAGTAGGACGTGCATTTCCTCATGTTGTATGGGATTATTACAATAATGGATGCAGTGTACGTTTATTAAATCCCCAATTATTTGCTCCAGAAATATATAAACTTATGTCTGGCTTACAAGAATATTTTGGTTCATTGGTTGGTTGCAATATTTATTTAACTCCTCCATTCTCTCAAGGATTTGCTCCACATTATGATGATATAGAAGCATTTGTAGTTCAAGTAAATGGTGAAAAACATTGGAGAGTTTATGAACCACTGTAACATAAGTTATTTTATAATAAATCATTTTTTTTCTTAATATTATAAGTATTTTTAGAAGTCAATTTGATACTCTCCCAAAAATTTCGAGTCGTAATTTTCAACAAAATGAAATTGGTAAGCCTATTCTTGATGTTATACTAAGACCCGGTGACTTTTTATACATGCCAAGAGGATATATTCATCAAGCTGATACTCTTTTTACTGAGACACATTCATTACATTTGACATTTTCAACATATCAACAAAATTCTATGTTTGACTTTCTTAAAGTGGTAAGTAAATAAAATCAAATGTTTATTTAAACATATAAGATAAAAATTATAATCAAATAATATTTTCTTCAATTATTTATGTTTTAAAAATCTATTTTTTGCTAAAATATTATAATATAATTTTATTTTAATTATAAAACTAGTAAAAAAAAATTATTTTAATTTTATTATTTGGGCCAAATACAGAAAAAATTACATCTAAAAAATTGTATTAATCAAAATTGTATCAAAATGTCATGGCAGTTTTGAGTAAAAAAAAAGAAAAAATGTCAAAAATCACCTATTTTTAAATTTGTAGTTTTTTAGGAGATTTCCCTTAATTACGGGAAAAGTGATCAATTTTTGACGTATATTGAAAGAAATAGGTTCGGTGAGAGCTGAAAAAAAACATTAACGCCACAAAAAAAAAACACACACATCATAGTATAATACTTTCTCAGTTCACATTGTAGCTTATAAAACAATAAAATGTCTAGATATTATTACATTATAATTAATTTTTGGTTTTAATTGATTATTCTTAGGAAAAAGTAGCTTAAAAAAAATGATTTTTGAATCATTTTTTTTGTGAATGTTTTCAATTTTTTATTTATTTTTTTTATTTTAGGTAGTTGATAATGCTTTAACAAATGCTGGTAAAAATGATATATCCTACAGATTTGGTTTGCCAATCGGATACCAAAGTTTAGGAGGTGTATGTTTTTCAGATAAATCATCTAAATCAAATAAACGCCAGTTGTTTGAAACTCATGTGAATAATCTAGTAGAGAATTTGAAAAAACATATTGATTTTGATCGTGTTATTGATCAATTTTCATTGAAAAATTATTATACTAATTCATTACCTCCATTTTTAAATAATGGTAAAAAAAATTATTTTTTAAGATATATTAAATATTTTACGCTATAAAAAAATCTAATTAATTACTAAAAATAAATTATAGCTTTATTTTATTCCTTAAAATTATTCCAATATTTTCAGATGAATTGTTGCGTACTGTTTCTAATGGTACAAAAATTATATCAAATGGAAAAACATGTAGAAGTGTAAACCTAGAAAATGCTGAAGTTAAATTGATTAGAGGAAATTGTTTTAGGTTTACTATCTAATCTTAATTTTAGATATAACTACTAAGTATATTTTTAATTGTTTAGATTTGTTGAAGAGTGTATAATAGATGAAGAAACTGATTGCATGAATAATGAATTTAGACTTTATTACAATTTAGACAATACTAAAGCATTATATGGAAATGATTGTCAATTCGTTGTTATACCTGATGAAATGGGACTATATGTAAAAAAACTTTTTAATAAATATCCAGCATACATTAAAGTGACAGATCTATGTGATGAAAATGAACAGGTAAAATAAAAAAAAAACAGCTTTTAAGTTTGAAATAACAAATTAGTAATTTTTTCTAAAAATCATTAATATTCTTATATAAATTATAAATTGTGATTTAAAATTCTGGATAGTATAGTATATAGTATAGTTGAAAAAAAATCAATCATTAAATGCTTTCTAACAATTGTGGAGATTAGAGTTAAAGTGGTGTTAATTAAAAGTTAATTTTTGTAATTTTTTAGAAGATTCGTTTGAAATATTTTAATTTCTTAACCAATATAAAAATAAATTCTTAAAATTCATTAATATTATGCTATAACATAATATTATTGCTTTTGTTAATATCAAAAAAAGTATTAAGTTTTATCAACCACTTAAGAGATTGAGGAGTTTGAGATTAGGTATGGCTGCTGGATAGCTTAGCGGAAAAGCTCTTGCCTGAATACCAAGAGATATGCCAAAATAAAAAGATCTTTTTCTTAGTTTCTGAGTTTCTAACCTAAGTTTAAAATGTTTATTTAAACTTATTTTACTCTATAATCGATTTGAACTTTTTTTACTTTAATTCTCATAAATATCCGGGAATAAATTTAATTTAATTTATGTAAACTTATTGGCTAAAAGATAACATTAACATATATTTTTCATAGTTATATATTGTTTTTTATTTTAGACCTATCTTCTGCTTCCTGTTATAATAATTTTTATTCAAATAAAATGTAGAATGATCATTTTTTTAGGTTTTGCAACTCATAAATGATTTATGGGAACGAGGCTTATTGATCACATCATCAAATATTACATCAGATGAATAAAGAATATTTTTTCATAATTTATCTAATGTATATTTACAAAATTAAATGTTTAAAATAAAAAAGTATTAATTGTTTTTATTAATCATTATGACTTATTTCGAGCTGCAACATACTCTGAATAACATAAAAATCCATCATTATTTTTATCTTCTTCAGTTAAAATTTCATCAACCCATCCTATAGTATTATATAATATTAATTCTGTGTACATATTATATTTGAATTCCTATATTTTACCTATAACTTTATCTAAAGATGATTTTGGATCTCCTTCTTCTTCTTTTTCATTTAAATTATGTTGTATAGCTGCCAAAAGTTCTAATCCATCAAGCATTTGGTTGTTATCTTTGTCATGAGCTCTAAAATTTAAAAAAAATTTAAACTATGTATTTTTTTTACTTAATTTTTTTACTAACATGAAGTATCGAAATTCTAATTCTTCATCAGTGTATTCGTGATCTTCCATTTCTTTTGAAAGCCCGAGGTCTTCTTCAATATGTCTGTATTTAAATTACATCAATTACGTTTTTTAAAAAGCATAACCTACTTAATAGTTTTTAAAATAAGTAAAATATACTACACTTAAAGTTTTACATAGTAAAACTATTATGTTTTCCGTTACTAATAATTAAATATTTTTTTTAAATCTCAGTAAGCAATAATGAGAAGACTTTTCTTATATTAAGACCTTAAAGTGCATAAATCAAACTATATGTTGTATGAATGATATTTTACTTTAATTTCACTCAATATAATTCTGTTCAGTTTATCAATAATCAAAAATAGTAATTAGTTGGTATTTAAACGGTATAAAACTAAATAAATCCTATTATATATCTGGAATCTCTTATTTCATGACTAGCATGTAAAAATATACGATTAGGATGAAATTTTTCATCCTAAATGATAATATAAGATTTGAATAATACTATGAAACAATGATAATAACGACCGGACCAAGAAATATAATATATAAAATTAGAGTTTGATAATCGAACTATTATTTAAATAAAAATGGAAAAGCAAGTACAGAAATTGTACTGTAATGACATAACTCTAAAACTGGGACTTTTTGGAATTATAAAACCAATCAGTAATTTTTAATAAATGGATCATTTAAAAATGAAGTGCTCTTAACCTAAAGATTAGCAAAGAAAAAAATTAGTTGTAGAAAAAGCCGTATTTTACGTGTCTTTGATATCACAAGAATAATTAAATTCTCCTACGATACAAATTTTATTAGCCAATTAAACGATTAGTATAAAAACTGGTTTATCTAAATTTAATTCAACCCAACAGCTTAAAGAACTGTGCTTCCTAATCATTTAACCAAAGCGTTAAGTAAGTAATTATGATATACGTTTTTCCCCATTACACAATTATTGATATATATTTAAGCTTTGATCATATTTTAGGATTACTTATGCATGGTCGCAATTAAAATTAAAATAAGATAAATAATATGAAATAAATTGAATATATAGTAAATAAATAATAACAAGGACAGTCCTAGAGGAGCACTTAGGGCGTTTCTGAATTTTCCATATTTTATTTACTAAAACTATAACAATTTGTATAAAAATGTTAAATAATTGTAATAATTTTGTATAGGAGTAAACTGTTAAAAAAAAGCAGCACTTATATTTATTGTATTAAAATTAAATATTGAGTATTTGAATATTAATATGTGTAAAGTGGTCTGTGGCGTATCCTGGGTGGTTATGGGGTTGTAGTCCCCCTTAAATGATTTGTGATGTTTAAATTTTTTAGTCGAGCATAATAAATTTAATTTAATGACCCTCTTTTTCTTGCTTGTTAATATTTTAGCAATTAAAAATGCATAGGGAAATTTTTTTATAAGAAAAAAGTCATCAAAAAAATTGTGAAACAATGGTATAAGTACCACCGCATAAATAATAATAGTTTTTATTTATTTTGCCAAGGGTCAGCAAAAGCTTGAGCTATCACTAAACATCAATGAATTATTTTGTTGATTTATTTCATATTTTTGAGAGGCCGAAATGATTTTATCTGTATTAAAAATTACAGGTTATTTATACAAAATTATAGCTTATTTTGCTTACTTTTTGTCGTGTTGGTCTTCTTTTAACTTTTCATGACCTCTATGAACAGACTCTTCATGTTGCTTGACGGTTGGCGGCACACCAGGAGCAGTCGCGTTTGGATCTTGTCCACGCTGGTATCCAACAGCGATGCCCAGTAGCAATAGTTCGGTTAGCACCGCGGTCAGCCAACCTCCAAGTTTCATCCCTCCTGTTGAGTTTCTATTTTTTTATACTTATCTGCTTAATGTCAAATTTTAGTGACAGATGCGTTGCCTGGTAGCTTATTCGTCCTTCGGTGCGTTAATGCCTGTAGGTGTATGTTATGTCGATCAAATTCGATTTGTTATACTCAGTGAATTATTTCATGCCCGATATGAACTCAGCGTGTGGCCATTTGCACCGGACGCATCAGTAGTGACCGTCAATCCTATAATCCCCCATAAACCCTTTCTAGACCACTTTCAAATAAAACAACAGAATTTATTAGCATCAATACTATTATCAGTCAGATATTGTCATCGAAAAGGTTTTATCCAACTTTTATGATGATGACCATCAGTACCACATCTACATAATATAACATTTTTATCATGGGTTATTATTACATTCCTCTAATGATCATCATTGCTTTAAAACTTATCGGTGGATTTTTAGCCAGGGTTGATTTCATATGTGGTTGTGGGGTATCACTACCAAAATTCATTCAAATCTTTAGTGGTAGGTATTTTTTAGAATATACTGTAAACTTTGTTACTCATTAGGTTATTAAGGCACAACTAGGGAGTACAATAAGACCCCCGGACGGATAATTAACTCCCTCTCTTAGTTAAAAAAATGATATATACGTGTATATTGTTATGTAAAAAAGTTTTAGGAGGGATATTAATTTAGCACCCTCAAAAATTTAATTTAATTTATGTACTTGATCTTCATCTCCCTAAAAATATAAAATCAGATAGCCATTGTTTCTAACTCAATTAATTGTAAGTATTTATGTGTAATTTTTGTTAATTCTTCTACAATAGGAACCAACAATTTTGTGATTTTAAATTTCAATTACGTTTCTATTTTGACAGTTAATTCATTAAAAATTAATTGTTTATTATCATCGAACAATTTGAACAATATAAAAAGGTAGAGATTTTACTGTTTATTTACATTTCTAAACATTATGATGTCATTTTAAAACTTTAAAAAGTATTTTTTTTTAATTTTAAATTATATTTAATCTATAATACAAGAATATTGCATTAGCTTTACTTTTTGATCGTATGCAATTTTCATATACCATATGTGTTTAATATGCTAACTATCATCTAGTAACTGAGTAAATATAAATTTTCAGGAGTTACATTAAAAAAAATTTTATAAGTAATATAGAAAAATCTTATGATTTAATTGTGCCTTATTTCAAGGATATCTAATCGTGTAATCAAACACCCTGTATATAATGCACATATGGCTTAACGAGAAATACATACTCTTAATTGAGATCATAATCATAATCCTCTTGTAAAGGGTTAAATAAACAATAACGCAGTAGATTATTTTTGGGGTAGGGTTGCATGAAGGACAATAGATGACTGAGGTCAAATTGAAACAAAATAGTTATGAATAGTCAAATATAAATGCTTACAACCTAAACTTATGAAAATAATTTTCATTATTTACGTTAATATTATTTGTAATGCTTTGAAGTTATTCGTTACATTTGCAAATTTACATTTACTACCCATCACTATTATTAATCACTAATTGTTCGCAAAATTATTACTATTAATATTAAAAATTGTATAATTACTTGTGTTAGTAAATTATATACTTTATCAGCTTTATTCAACAAAATATATATGTCGTTATGTTTTTATGGTGTAATTAATAAAAAAAATTAAATCTCATTCATATACGTGACGATTCTGAAAAGATAAAATGTTAGCAAAATACAATGCTGAGCATTAGACAAATAGAACAACTAAAGCTGTACTATGAAAATCGCTGTGACAAAATAAATGGTATTTTCAAACCGGTAGAATTACGTGGTGAAATATTTTTGGTTGTTAGATCAATAAGTCGCTGACTTTACCACGTGTATGTTATTCAAAATCTCAAACCAATAGATGGCAGTAAAATTTTACAAACTTTACCTATTAGTTTTTTCAAAGTTAGTGGGAGTATTTGGAAATTGAATTATCGTTAAACTTATTTTTTAGCTCATCTAAACATCTGTTTAATCAAGTAAACAATATATTCACCGAATGATTTTTAATTTTTATATTTATAAAATTATTTTTACAGTATAAAAGTGAACAATCAATTATTTTAGCGCGAATAATATTAATAACTCTAAATGTATGAACATTTTTTTTATAGACTTTAAAATCCTATTATATTTCATTAGAAAATATATAATACGACATTTATTTATATGAAAATTTTTTATTTCATAAGCTAGTTTAATATTAATTTTTTCATTTTAAAAAATAAGGTTGTTACCTTTATAAAGGATAAAGCTAAAAAATATTTAATACTTATAAATTGAGTGATTTATACCATAAAACAAAGTCAAAAAAAATATTTTCATGATTATTATTTTATGGAATACGGTGGGCCACCCTGTATTCACTGACAACTTAAATAACTTTTGATCCAGTTAATATTTTTAGTTGATTTTTTTTTTAAATAATAGTTATACGTTAGGTCTATAGCTATATCTCAATAATTAATTTTTTTACATTTTATTAAAAATATTAATTATTTTTAAATTTTAAATAAAATGTAAAAAAAAAATCTAAGATAGCTATTTTGTAGAGTAGAATTTAAGAAAAATTTTAGTAAAAAAATATCTTATTAATATTCAGTAGTAAATATTCTGTAGCGTTTTGAAGTTTGTGAAAATTTGAATTTTCATGTACTATTTTACGGTATTAAACATTGAAATACGTATTGAGAAAAGGACAGAAGAAAACGCTATCTTTTCAATATACTTTTGAATGAGAGTGATAAGTAATAATTGCCTTATCTAATTTCTTATCATGGTATTAATGCCAAGTTTGTAATGTATACACATTATCATCATATGTATACACAGTAATCATGAAAAGATAGCGTTTTCTTCTGTCCTTTTCTCAATACGTATTTCAATGTTTAATACCGTAAAATAGTACATGAAAATTCAAATTTTCACAAACTTCAAAACGCTACAGAATATTTACTACTGAATATTAATAAGATATTTTTTTACTAAAATTTTTCTTAAATTCTACTCTACAAAATAGCTATCTTAGATTTTTTTTTTACTTTTTATTTAAAATTTAAAAATAATTAATATTTTTAATAAAATGTAAAAAGATTAATTATTGAGATATAGCTATGGACCTAACGTATAACTATTATTTAAAAAAAAATCAACTAAAAATATTAACTGGATCAAAAGTTATTTAAGTTGTCAGTGAGTGTTGGGCCACCCTGTATTTAGTGGTTAATGACTCGCCTTATGTTAAAAAAAAATTTATTTTAGTTTATATCCAAAAGTTAGAAAATTACAAAAATTGGTTTTGAAATTCTTTTTAATTCAAATGGAAATGGATGTTTTCGATTGTGAGCCAAAATTAAAGAATCAATTTAAATAAGTTTGTTTTTGCACTTCAAAAATGTCAGTTTGCATAAAACAATATTATAATTTGATATAATTTTTGTTCTTCTGAAACATTGCTCAAATAAAAATATCAGCTTTATCAAAATAATTACAAATATTATCTTTTAATTTTATAAAAAAGTTATGACCTACGATTCAGTTATAAGATTTGTTTTATAACGACACTCTATCAAAAAAATCATAACTGTGGTACTCATGGTCTTAAATTTAATGATGAGCTACTGAAATATCAGATTGTAATGATTTGATAATTGTTTTCTAAAAGATTTATTAAAAGTATAATGAACAAAAAGTATATTTTCTTAAGTAAAATCATACAAATTTCAAAATATATATGTCTTACTTTAGTGAATGATTTAATTTAAGTTGTTTAATTTTTTTTATGCATTTATAATGTATTTGTAAAATGAAGTTATTTGACAAACTTATCAAAAGTATCATGGGTAAGCCAAAAAATTGTATAAATAAAAGATTTAAAAGAAATTTATGAATTCTTTTGACACTTTTTTTTAATAAGGGAATATGCTTTTTATATAAACAGCTACTTCTTTTACTTATTCATCGCATATGTGATAAATATGACTTTATTTTGATAATTAATATTTTTCCCTTATAATCATACTTATTTTGTTGCTATAAACTAATGTTATTTTACTCTTTCAATTTATTCGTACCTAAAAATAAAATTAATATGTTTTTTAAAAAAGGAACGTGTGCAATAAAAGTATATTAATATATTTTGTTATAACGTAATATTACAGTTTGCAATAAAATTAATTAGGATATATCCATACATGTATTAGTCAATATTTATTCATCTAATTCATTGAAAAATTAAAAATGATAATTTTTGTCATTAGATACTGATTTATTTAAATCTGCAAAATAAAAATGAATAAGTATTAAATTGACTTTTAAAAATAGATTTGCATTATTCAATAAAGCTTATTTTGAATAATTTATTGAATGAAGATTTTATCGGTGGCATCCTTAACCATAATAAAGATGTTTCAGATAAATAGTAGAATACCAAGTATTATTCTGTAAAACATGTTAAGTAAGATTAGAGATAATATGATGATAGCAATATGGTTCACTATAAAAAGTTTACAACAAAACAAATTCGCATCATTCATTGTACAAATTTATTCCATTGAATAACATTATGATTAATACAAATATTTTGGCAACTATAGCAATAACTATAATATGCAAGGTCAGTAAATATATTTTACCCTTTACCCTGAAGGATACATCTAAAGTTCAAATATTTTTTTTAGGTACAAACTACTCCATGTGGTTTTAATTGTGATTTGATAACACCTGCTCCAGTTCTACAGTCTACTCTTCACTGTAATGGACCAAAAGTTAACAAGGGTCTTTTAAATTATTCCCCTCGTTTAATACCAGCCTGTTCATGTCCTCTACAAGCCTCTTGTTGTCTTAAACCGTTCCCCTTAAATACTAAACCAGGCTCTTTAAGTGTTAAACCAAGCCCTCTGAGTACTGAAGCAATCTTGACTTGTCCAACGTCAGATTCACACTATTCTTCGACACCGTGTTCAATACCATCAACAAAAACCTCATGTATTTCGCCAGTTACAGTTAATACATCACCTATAAATCCCGCTCCTCTTTCATCTGCTGAAGTTTTAAATTTAATTTCACGTTTGACTGCAGTTCAACCACTTTCAGAAACAACTCCTATTTTAAAACCTGTTCCTGTTACAGATATTGCTACTGAACAAGTACAAGTTCCAGCTGCAACTTGTCTTCCTGCATTAACAGTACCTTCAAATCTTGTTTCCGAACCTTGCTTAGCTCAAATTCCTGCCTTAGAACCGTACACAACTTCCGATTCAAATCTGAAACCTACATCAGTTTCAACTGTAACTTCAAAACAAATTCCGCTTACATCATCTTGCCCAGCTCTTACTTCCGTCACAGCCACAACTCCTACTTCAATTGTAGCTCCGACTTCGTCTCTCATCATAACCCCAGTCCCTGCGACAATCACTGCACCAACTGAAGTCAAAGTCTCAGCTTCTGCTTCAAGTTGTAATAAAATTCCTACTTCAGTCGTAGAAGATATTCGAACTCCCATTTCAACATCTAAATCTAATCTTCCTCCTGTCATAACTGCTCCAAAAATCTACAGTATTTCCGTTGATAATACAGTGTCTACTTCAGTTCCCATACCTACAGCAAATTATGCCTCACTTTCATCTGAAGAAATTTTGAAATTATTGTCACTTTTACCTTCTACGCCGAATTCATGCTCATCTCCTATTCCAATTATAGAACCACTACAAACTTCTGCTGTAGTCTCAACACCGGCTCCTATTTCAAAAGTAGCAGCAGCACCTTGTCCTGCTCCCATCGTAGCCCCAGAACAAGTTTCAAAAACAATAGAAGCAACAGTACCTTGCTCTGCTCCTATAGTAACTCCAGCTCCAATTCCTATTTCAGAAGTAGCAGCACCCCCTTGTCTTGCTCCAGCTGCTACCTCAGCACCAATTCCTATCATATCTTCAACCCCGATGCCAGCCAAATATTCTACTCCCTGTTCGTCATCTACTTTTGCCCAAGTACCAGCTACTACCTCGATTTCACCTTCAGCTATTTTAAATTTACTGACACTCTTATCTACAACTCAACAAAATTCAATTCAGGCTCCTGCAACTGCTTCTGTACCAACTCAAATTGTAAGCTCAGTTCTTTCACCAGTATCAACTCCTAGTATCACTCCAACATCTATTCCAAACGCAAGTCCAACATTAGCTCCTGTCGTTACTTCAACCTCGGCCCCAGCGATACCTTCTTCTCCATATTCACCTTCGGCTATTCTTAATTTATTATCTTTTTTAACATTAATTCAACGTAGTCCAATTCCACCTCCTATTACGATTCCTGATACACTTTCATCTCCTACTTCAGTACCTCCTTCATCTATTTTACCGCCAGTTTCATATGTTTCACAAATTACTTCAACCCCTACTCCATCTTCACTTTCCAGAGTTTTAACTTTGTTGTCTACTTTAGTATCTCAACCAAACTTTACACCATGTGCTACTACAGGATATTACTCTAAATAATTTTAATATTTTGACTGCTATTAACCGTAATAAGAAAATATATGAGTATTTTAATGTATTTATCATTCAAATAATAAATAAATTGATTATTTATATACATAAGATTTTTGAAATAATTTTTAGTTCATAGTATTGAACTATCGGAGAGAAAAAAAAACTTTGTACTTTTTATATTAAAAATTTTAATTGAATTCAAAATTATTCGGTTTATACGTTGTGTTGGTTATTTTGGTTTTAATATTATACTTTATTTAATTATTCATAACTTTAAGCTAGAATAGTTGTAGGAGATATAAGAAAAGATTTTAAATATATTTCGCCTTATATTTTATTCATTAACTAATACCATTAATAATAAGGAAGTGGAAAATTTATATAGCTACCAAACTAATTTACAAATTATAATTGATAAAATAATCCTCTAAATTTATTATTTTTGTTGAAAACCCAACTAAGCCTTTATGATAGTTGCTATTGGACGCATAAGACAAAAAAATAGGCTTATTTAAATTTAATTTAAGTATGTAGTTATATTTAACAAAGTTAAATTTAATAAAAATGAAATAATCGATAAATTTACCACCGTAATCATGATGATTTTATTTGAAATTATATATTTCAATATTTATTAATAAAAAAACTTAGTTACTAGTGAATAAAATTAAAAATACGGATGGTCCAATTACGCGTTGAACAACAACATAATTACAAAAAAATCACAGCTTTAAGGTTTTTGTCAAGTTTTTTTCGTTATCTTGCCGTGTTTCATCCTTACAATTACGATCATATTGCCCGAAGGTAAAAATAAGTCATAAATATAAATAGAAAGGGATTATATATATACATACAAGAATGGGAGATATAAAAATACAATTTATAATGTTCCCTCTCTGACGATGGAATTACCAGAGAAGAATCCTCTAACTCGGTTGCCGACAGCAACATTTACGACGGCCATTGTGGGCATAGCTCTTCTTCCCCAGTTCGCTTACCGCGGGGGGCGTTTTTGTCGGGTTGTCCCGGCAACGGTCGATTCTGGAAAGATGCATAACTATGTGTACGCACCATTTCTATAAACTTTTACTACGGCCGGGTACAGTATTGATTTGAAAAGGTAGGTAGAACCGGGACCGGTGCTGATAACGACGACAACAGTTTCAATGTAACGTGTCACAAACGTGAATTTGCAAACATGAATAATAAATTCGGACGGGTACACGCGACGACGACTGTAGCTGTCGTTTCCCGGAGGGATGAGATATTTCTGCAACGTGCCCTGAAGTGCCGCCGTAGTATCCGCTTCTCTGTTTTACATCCTTTTCCGACAACGCTTTTGTCGTCTCTTTCTCTCGTGATAAGTGTCCTAAAACGCCTTAGGCTGCCCGATGAATAATATTACAGTCACTGTAATGACAATAATGTTACTGAAAATTTCTAAATACACTAAGACAAATAATTTTGTATATACACAAAACCATCAAATGATCAAGATGATCATTTGAAAACAAATTCAACACCTGTAAGGTCTATCGTATTCCTATTAAGCAAAATCCATTCAATAAAATCGATCGAACTGAGTATTTAAGTGCAGGCAAACATTTGAGGTAGCGTTACAAAATCTACTAATTCAAAGTGGGTGTTTAAAAAAATATCTCTTATAATATTATTTGTCAGTAAAAAGTTTGCAACTACGAAAAAATGTTGAAAAACTTTCATCAAAAGTATCTAGATATATCCATGTCTATAAAAATTTTAATAAATAAATAAAAATAATGTAAATTCATATATGCATATAATTTAAACGTATTTAATAACAAAACAATATAACCATCAAGAACATTTTTATTTTTAAAAGTAATTCATAATAGTTTAAATCAATTATAGAATAATTAACTTTTTTTTTTAATTAGTTTTTTTCATTTTTATTAATTTGCGATTAGAATAAACAGTTAGATTGATTTCATTAAAGCTCACTTGTGTTAAATTACCATCCTAAGTAGACTAAACATAATTAAAATTAAGTTGGCTTCAGAAATGCATCCATGAATGAGTTGACATATATTAAGCTTGAAAAACCTTAAGTATGAACATTTAACCTACTGACTACTTTATATTTTGATTTTGGCTTTAGAAGTTTAGACCATTAACTTAGTAATATAGGTAATAATAACTTTAAATTTCGTTCTTAAATTTTTATTTAGACAATTGCACACACAAATAATTTAAGGCGAAAATGATTTCGAGGCCAAACAGTTAATTGTAAAACAATATCATTAAAACCTGATTAAATGGGATACTTGATTTCAAAAATTTTTATTTGTAAATATTCTAACAGAAAATTGTATGTATATGTATAATTATTTTAACTATAATACTGTGCTCTATAATATGATTAATCATGAGCAAGTCGGCAGATTTATCATAAGTAGCGTGTTGAAATTTAATAGAGATGATTATTCAACTAATTCTAATAATTTAATCTAGATATAAATAATTTTGTAAACAATTATAAAATTACATTGAGTTTATAACACGTACAGTACAGTTCAGTACGTNCATATCATATAAATAATTTTGTAAACAATTATAAAATTACATTGAGTTTATAACACGTACAGTACAGTTCAGTACGTACGTAGTTTAAATTACCATTAGAAAATTCATGTCATTGAAAGTTATCGAAATAGTTGTAATTATGTAATCAAAGCATCTAAACTATCTCTTGGCCACTTAGTTATACATATTATACACACATNAAATAATTTTGTAAACAATTATAAAATTACATTGAGTTTATAACACGTACAGTACAGTTCAGTACGTACGTAATTTAAATTACCATTAGAAAATTCATGTCATTGAAAGTTATCAAAATAGTTGTAATTATGTAATCAAAGCATCTAAACTATCTCTTGGCCACTTAGTTATACATATTATACACACATATAACGTTCTTTAATTGTTTTAGACAGCTTATTTTTTGATAACCTTAAAAAAAATAAATTTTCAGACGATTCTCTATATAAACAAGTGACATTAAAAAGAATGAATGAATGCAATTTAGTTAATGACACGCTGTGACTAATGATTTTTAACCTTGATAAGACAAATCAAATATTTATTTAGTACTTCTTACGTGTTATTTATAACGATATTAAAAGACATTTGTTACTTTACATTATTAATTATATTTACCCATTAAGATTCTTCATTTTTCCAACCTTTTATTTTATTTAAACAAATAAATAATAATTATTAATTTATTCTATATTTATTTATTGAAACTTATTTTAAATTAAAAAATATATATTATTAGAGAGTCTAAGCGTTTGAGTTTTGTATGGTTCTAATTAAAATTTCTCTCGGAAAAGAATTTAAAATGATATCATTTATTATTCGTGACTACATTCTCCCATTCAATAATAAGCCATTCAATTGATATTTAATTTAATATTAGACATTCACAAAAAGAACGCGTCGGTGCGAAGTGAAAAAAATACTGACGGAGGTTTTACAGGGTAAGTCCTCATTTGTTGCTCCAAAGGCGTGATGGGCGAGGAAAAAATGTGGAAACTTTAAAGAGCCTTGATGGCCATCGCTCCGAGTTAATTTCGTTAAGACTTTCGCTCGTTGCTGGAAACCATTTAATAAACACCTCGCACGCGTTGCTTGCCTGTGCTTAGCGAAGCACGAACGACACTCTTAATTTGATGGAAATTGTCTTGGCAGAATAATAATCGACACTCGACTTTTAGTAACTTTCTTCGACACGAATATAACCATCGGACTAGCTCGAAAAACGATTTCACTCTTAAGCAAACAATACCCCGAGAGTTTGCATAAAACAAACATTATTAATGGCCACTGTTCTTATTTTGTGATGCGAGACGAAGTATATCGTCACATAGTTTTTAGATCTGACCAAGATAACTTGTTAGAGTGTATGAAAAAAATGTGTACGGCTGATTACAGGGACAATATTATTGAATATAATGAAGTGGAGAGTATAGTAAATACCCGTTGTCTCGAGGGGTGTTCCAACGAGGGGTTGTTCCGGGTCGAGGGTGTATTGGTGTTGGTGGTGACGGACACACACTGTGATCCGTCGGTCGACTCGTTGATGACAATCAATCGGAAATATTTAAATTGTGATCAAAGTGCCCGCGGCGGCCCATCTGTCACTGCGAAAGACTATTACACCTGTTTTACAAATGTGCGACTATATACTTACAGATTTGTTATTGGGGAGAGATGAAGTGTGGTACAATGTGTTTTAATCCGACTGTATTCACGCCCTGGTATAGTGTCCTCTTACACAAATTGTTTTCTTTTCACAATGACCGAAAATCCCTGATTTGTCACTATGAGCGTCAAAAGTCCTTTTATTTTCGACACTGATGTGCTTGTATTACACTATTTTTGACTGCCCTTTACTCCTTTAGTACAATATGTTCATATGCGAATACCCACTCGAAATTCGATGATTAATAATAGCCCACGTATTGACATTGGCATGAAAATAATTAATTAGGTTATTATAAACTGTTATATATTTAAAAAGTTTCATGTAAAATACATATATGTCTGTAATAAATTTCAATTGTAAACGCCATTCTTTTTGAAAATGTTAACGCTTGTAGTATTTCATTTAAATGGGAAAATTCAGATATTATATATTTATAATAAACACTATGAACCCAGTACTCTAATTTTGAACTTAAACAACAGTTGGATAGCTATTAAATAGTTTTAGTCACTTCACAAGGGCTTTAGTTCAAGAATCATAAATTAATTCATTAGAATTTTGGGCTCAATAGAGTATTCGTTTTAATTAAATTTCTCTTGGAAATAATTGGAAAGACAAATTTAAGATAATTACAACCAAAATAAAGCGTTTTAGGTTTTTTCAATTTGAAATCGTTCAATAATGTGATATAATAATTCTTTAAATAGAAAATCACAGCACTGTACACTTTTATTATACTGTCGATTTCAAGTTTCGATTGAATTTGAATGTAGTAAAATATAATAAATACTTAAAAGTTATTAATAAAATAGTTTATTTATAAGTTCAAAACTTATTTTAAAACCAATTATTTTATTCATGTAAAAACAACAACCCACAATTTAATGACTCTATAATATGACAGTTG